GGCTGAGCTTTTCCCCTTCCTCGGCCCCTAGCACGGCCTCGGCCTCGCCCTCCGCCCCTCGTAGTTGCTACCGCTGGGGGCTCAGGCTGCTGATCAGCGGATGAAGAAGCACGTGTTCTTGCCATCTGCGAAAGAACAGAGTAGAAGTTCAATTAGCATTGAGAAACCAAATGGCACAACAGGAAAGAATAGATGTGAAGTTTTTCCTAACTCTGTAGCCTCTGGGATAAATACAAACGTCTCCGTACCGATCCCTCAGACTCTACTAAGCTTGTCAGTGAATTGTGAGACCTAAGCAACCTAGAGCTCTGATACCAACTTGTCACGACCCGGATTTCCCACCCTCGGGAGTCGTGATGGCGCGTACGAGTGAAAGCTAGACAAGCCTACCATTTGTATTATTTACCCTTTTTCCCATTTTAATCCTTTAACAATTAAGATCAAACATTATATAAACAACGGAATTTAATAAGCGGAAGAACAAAATATAACCATGTAAACATTACCGATACAAATCCTTAAACATAGACTACTCAGAACTAGTGTCACAATTTCACAGACTATCTAGGAATACTACAAATAAGGGTCCGAAAGATAAATAAAACAATGTCTCTGAAATACATAAAAGAAACAGAATGAAAGGATAGAAGAAGACGCCAAGGCCTGCGGACGCCTGCAGGACTACCTCGGGACTCCAAATGGACTGAAGGGAGCAACCCAAAGCTAAGGTCCGTATGCTCCAGTACCGGGATCTGCACAAAAGAGTGTAGAGTGTAGTATCAGCACAACCGACCCTATGTTCTAGTAAGTGCCTAGCCTAACCTCGGCGAAGTAGTGACGAGGCAAGGACCAGACTATCAAATAAACCTGTGCAGCTAAATCATATACAGCGGAAAAAGTAAAGGCAGAAATTTACAGGTAAAGATAGGAGGGGGAAAACATGCTGCGGGGAAATCAAGTAACAACAAAAAACCAATAAATAAACGGAAAGAACACTATAACTGAAGTATCAGCAAGAATCAGAAAATCAAAGACAAGTGCACGGTATCACCCTTCGTGCTTTTACTCTCGTCCCCACCAAAAATCAATAAAATCGGCACGGCATCACCCTTCATGCTTTTACTCTCGTCCTCACCAAAATTCAATAAAATCGACACGACATCACCCTTCGTGCTTTTACCTCGCATAATCATGGCACGGAATGATCCTTCATGCATTTTCACTCATATCATAGCACAACATTGTACATCGTGCGGCACGGCATCACCCTTCGTGCTTTAACCTCACAATATCGGCACGGCATCACCCTTCGTGCATTAACACTCTCTCACAAATATCATGCACGGCATCACCCTTCGTGCTTTTACACTCTTCCTTACCCAAACAACAATCACAAAGCAACACGGGCAAGGTAATCAATAAAATCATAATAGAATCCCGGCAATGGAAAAATAGCATAACAACAATATCCCGGCAAGGGAAAACAATATCAAAAGCAATAACATTCCGGCGAGGAAGATAATATTAAAAACAACAACATCCCGGCAAGGGAGATAATATCAAAAGCAACAACATCCCGGCAAGGGAGATAGTATCATAAACCTCTTCTCTTTTTTTCTTCACAATTACTTCACAACTCAATTCACAACTTGAGCTAATGCTCTACAATGTTCAATTACCAATATTACTTCCACAACTCAATTCACAACTGAGCCAACGTTCTAAAATGTTCAATTACCAATAATACTCCCACAAACCTTGTTCAACAATAGATTTCATCATATAAAGCATAAATAATACGAAACGGAGTCACATTCATCATAGTATAAGACTCACGGGCATGCTTGACACCGACTTATAGATACTCGTCACCATGCCTATACGTCGTACTCAACAATTAACACGTAACAAATAAGACACAACTCCTAATCCCTCAAGCTAAGGTTAGACCAAACACTTACCTCGATGCCACGAACATAATTCAAGCCTCAACTATCGCTTTACCTCTTGTTTCCACCACCAGTTCGCTTGTATCTAGCCACAATATACTTAACGATATCAATAAATGCTAAATGAATCAATTCTAATGCATGAAAATAGGTTTTCTAAAGTTTTTCCCAAAAAGTCAAAATTCGACCCCGGGCCCACATGGTCAAAACCCGAGGTTCGAACCAATACCCAATTACCCATTCACCCACGAACTCAAATATATAATTTGTTTTGAAATCGGACCTCAAATCGAGGTCCAAATCCCCAAAAATTGAAAATCCTAGGTTCTACCCAAAACACCCAATTTTCCCCATGAAAACCCTTGATTTTGAGTTGAAATCATGTGAAAAGATGTTATAGATTAAAGAAAATAAGTTAGAAATGACTTACTAATGATTTGGAAGAGTAGTTGCCTTTATAAAATCGCCCAAAGATGTTTTAGGTCTTCTGAAAAATGAAAATGGCTGAAAAGACTCGTTTATATAAACCCCTCTCAGACCCTCACTGCTGACCGCAGAAAAAGGATCGCGGCCGCTGAGCTCCACCACGGACCTCAAAATATCGAGCGCGGCCGCGAAGACCTGGCCTTGCTCACCGCGGACCGCATTAATCCCACCGCGGTCGCGAAGAGCCCACCGCGGTCGCGACAACCCCACCGCGGACCGCGAAGCCTTGTTCAAAGACCTGCAACTTCTCTGAACCTGCAACAGATATTTTTTAAGTCTAAATGCACCTCGTGGCCTATCCAAAACTCACCCGAGCCTTCGGGGCTCCAAACCAATCATGCACGCAAGTCCAAAAATATCATACGGACTTGCTCGCGCGATCAAATCATCAAAATAACATCAGCATCTATGAATTAAACCTCAAATTCATGAAATCACTCAAGAACATCAAAATTACTATTTTCTCAACTATAGGTCTGTTTTATACCAAACCAATTCTAATCTTTACCAAATTTTATAGATTCAACTTAATCATTATTTCAAACTTGTACCGGGCTCCGGAACCAAGATACGGGCCCGATACCATCAAGAAAATGCATCAATTCACTTCTAAAACCTTTATACTTTCCAGAAAATAATTTTTCTTTAAAAATTCATTTCTCGGGCTTGGGACCTCGGAATTCGATTCCGGGTTTACGCCCAAGTCCCATATTTTACTACGGACCCTACGAGACCGCCGGATTACGGGTCCGGGTCTGTTTACCAAGAATGTTGACCAAAATCAACTTTATTTAATTTTTAAAGCCAATTTCCATATTTTACTTAGTTTTCACATAAAATTTTTCCGAAAACGCGCCCGGACTGCGCACGCAAATCGAGGTGGGACAAAAGAGGTTTTTTTGAAGGCCTTGGAACATATAATTTACTTTCAAAACGAGTGATGACCTTTTGGGTCACCACATAATTATTCAGATCTTAATTATTAAGTGTGTTTGTTTTTTTACTTTACAACCACTTAATGGATCTGAATAGATCTGTATGATCAAGATCTATAACAGAGACTTAATTTTATTAAGATGCTATCACATATTCATTATTAACTGTCGCCTCCTCCTAACATTGTCAACTACCACCATGCCGCCGCCACCACCATACTCAACCACCACCACCACTACCACCACCACCATGCCACCATCATCCTCAACCATAGCCGCCACCATTATTGACCATCACCACCCACCATCTCCACCACTCCGACCACCATCATTCTCACCCACAATCAACACTTATCCACCTCAATTACCATAACTAACCACCCCATCACTATCAACAACCACAACCGGCACCGCCCATCATTATAACCTACCACCATCTTCCTCCATCACAAACCACCACCCGCCATTATTAACTATCACCACCCACCACCACCATCCCCAATTATAATCGCCGCCACTACCAATCACTACTAGCCACTAGCATGAACCACTATCATCAACAAAAATTACAACCAACCACCGCTTCTAGTCGGCATTCACCCGTTAGCCATCAGCACCAACAACTATCATATTTTAAAAACTATATATTTTGTTGATAAAATATTAGATTAGTTAGTATTTCATTTGAATTTTATGTTTATTATTTTTCAAATAAAGATAAATTTTATACATTCAGATGTTAAAAATCAAACAGTCTTAATTTTTAGTATTCAGATCTTAATACACATCTTAATATATTCAGATGTGTATTCAGATTCAGATATCTTAATCTTAATATACATCTTCATATTCAAGTATGTATTCAGATTCAGACGTCTTAATCGAAAAAAAAAAAAAAAATAGGCCTTAGACACCCTAGTTGAACAAGTGATGCATATTCAAAATGTACCTATTAAACCCTTAAGTAATAACCAATCAAAAAAATTAAATGTTTAATTCACATGCCCAAGTGATGAATAAAACGAAGACACATTATTTTTAGCCCAAATAATTAAAGAAGGATTTCGAGCCAAAAAAAATGTATCTTGAATTTGTTTTTGCCCATTGGACTGAGCACTGAGGTTGAACAGGTAATGAATATTGTTATACTGCTCATGTAAGCCAAGAGGACTAAAAAGGTTACAGGGGAGGGAATTAATTGAAGACCATTTTGTCAAAGGCATATGATTCTGACCAAAGGATGATGGAGGCAAATTGGGCACATTCGCTACCTAATTTTGGGGGAATCCGAAGGTAGTGTGATGAAATGGGAGTAAGTTACTTTCATCTTTGAGTGATAAATTGCATTCTGAACATACTCTAATTTAAACTCTCTTCTTGTGCTTTAGGATTATGTTCCTTGTTTGTTTTGCACAGGACAGGAGTGAAAATGATGAGAGTTTAATGGGGTTGCCGCTTAGTGGCGGGCGGGAGAGAGAAGAGAAAATGTGATGTCTTTTTCTGAAAGGGGAAAAAAAAAAGAATAATATGATTTGGGAGAGTTGAGAAACACTCTTTTTTGCCATGTCAGCCTAATAGGCACGCATTGACTGAGGTTGCATTAGTGACAAATTTGGTCTATGTATTTAGACTATTATATATTCGACTTGCACTAAAGTCTATCATGGAACCTAAGGTAGAAAGTGATGAATGTCGCTTTTGGTTCACTTGTCTGTTGCGTGTACTATAGTTTCTGCCAAGAAAGTCATTTTCTTTCTCCTTTTTTGTGTTTATAACTTTATATATTAGGCGATTGTTTGAGCTTTGAGAGTGGACAAGCTGGTCAAGATGGAATATTGGTGGTTGTTGATCATTCTGTTTTTGTCAAATGGACAGTGGTGCTGTTTAGGTTGTTGGAAAGAAGAAAGAACTGCTCTCTTGCAACTTAAAGCAAATATAAACTACATAGGATCGGGTGGTTTCTTATCGTCATGGATGGCCAACGAAACCTCAGATTGTTGTCAATGGTTGGGAGTTGTTTGCAGCAACAGCACAAGACGAATCGCTGAGTTGTCCATTACTGTCAGTAAAAAAGATATGTTGGATATGAATGATACTTTGCCGCTATTCAATGCATCTTTGTTTCTTCCCTTCAGAGATATCAGAGCTCTGCTCCTCCCTGGAAATTCTTTCGTTGGATGGGCTGACACTGAAGGTTCCTTCTTCCTATGCTTTCTTCATAATACTAAAATTCAAATGGAGGGAATTGACACTCACATTGCATATAAACTAGTTTCGGTTTGAGATGTAGTTATTGTTGTCGTGGTTGTTATTCTTATATCTATAGACGTGTTTGAATCCCCTATCGGATAAATTAGGATGATCGCAGTAATTTGAATTGTTGTAATGTTAAGTTCAAAGGTTAAATCTATTTGCCTCTTGACAAGTTAACAATAATTATATCTAAGTTTCTTGTTAATTTGGTTACAGGTTTTGAGAAACTGAGACAATTGAGGAAACTAGAAAAACTTGATTTGTCAGGGAACCTCTTCAATCGCAGCATCTTTCTGTCTCTTAGTCAACTTTCTTCTCTCAAATCATTGAACCTCAAAGACAACAACATCGGATCAGGTGCCAATATATATACGGTTCCCTCTATTCGCCCGTTTGGACTATTAGTAAATCTGCGAAAGAACGTGTGTGTGTGTTTGTGCGTGCGTGTAGCTTATCTATTTCCTCAATATGTTAGGTTTCGAGAGATTGTCAGGACTAAATAAGCTGGAAATCTTAGATTTGAGCGACAACACACTGAATGATGAAAACGTGCTCTCTGCTCTAGGTAAACTAATAATTACTCTTGAAAAGCCTTCATTAATTTAGTTTGCTGCTTTTTTCCTAGAGACTTCCCAGCATAGTTATATATTCTAAATATCTGGACAGAGCTAAATAAATCTCGAACAACTTTGAAGAAGCTCGATCTAAGGAACAACAAATTTCGAAGCTTCATACCAGATGAAGGTACATATAATTCATTAAGTAGTTTTATTTTACCTAATTGCCTTGCTGTGCAGATATAACATATTGGTTAAAATACCTTCTATTATCAAGTCTTGGTTAAGAATATTTGTCCCACAACATTAAGCAGGGTCTCCTGAACGACACTTTTAATCAAATTTTTTACGTCAAAAACAACATGTTGAAGATTCCTTTGTTTCTTTTGCATGTAAGAGTTGGGAGCTCTACGAAGTATCGAGTACTTACTTTTGGATGGAAACACATTGGATGAGAACTTTCTATGGAGCAGTGGTGTAATGTCATCCCTTAAAGTATTGTCAGTAGCTCAATGCAACTTGAATGGAACTCTACCTCATCAAGGTAATTTTGGACATAAAATTCACTAAATGATTCCTTTATACAATTAAGAATCTTAGTCAATTTAACAACTGCATAATATACATGAATGTAAACCCCTTCTAGCTTGAAAAGCAATTTTATTCTTCTTGTTTTCAAATTTATCATTAGTGATATGGTTTTTATCTTTATATATTACTGTTCTTTTACAATAACGAATTTTGTAAAAAAATGACAATGGTAATGTATGATTCAAAAGTACCGAAACTATCCATTGATCTGGTTGTCTACATTAACCTAATTATTTTGATTGTGATTTGCACGATATGCATGTCATTAGATCTTGTGGAACTGGATGTATCTTCAGAATTTAGTTGCACAGAGTGCTTGTCATCCATTATGATGGAGTATTATATTTTCTATTTTCGTATTGATCTCTAATATGCATGCTAGAATTATAAACAGTATTATTCACAATTATTACTTAAAGAAAGACATCTCAAAATGATTATTTTTGAAGAGTTTTTTTATACAAAAAATGGTTAGTAAATTAGAGTGAATGACAGATCTTTAAGACTATTCTGTTAATCTCTAAACAATTGATGAAGAGGATTTTAATTTACTAGCCATTTTTGTTTGCATGATTCCTATATTTTCTGCTTAAGCAACAACTTAAAACATGTAATAACAATTATCCAATTGTTCATTGTATAGGCTTGTGCGAACTAAAGTATCTTGTAGAGCTAAGTCTCAGCAGAAACAACTTTGATGGAAGACTTCCTGCTTGCCTTGGAAACTTAACATTTCTTAGGGTAATTGATCTAACTCAAAATCAATTTACAGGTAACATTGCCTTGTCTCCACTTTCAAGTCTCTTGTCCCTAGAATATCTCTTGTTAGCAAACAACAACTTTGAAATTCCAATTTCATTTGAGTCATTTGCTAACCACTCAAAACTTAAGTTTGTAATTGCTGACTACAACTCTGTAATTGTACAAAATTCTTCTAAGTTAAGTTGGATCCCAAAGTTTCAATTGGAAGCCTTTTCTATATCCAACTGCTCTAAAATGCCCAATTTCCTTCATTATCAACATGACTTGAGACTTCTTCGTCTCTCGCAATGTAACATTGGTGGAAACTTTCCAAATTGGTTGTTAGAAAACAATTCTAGACTTGGAGAAGTTTACTTGGGTGGAAATGCATTCACTGGATCTCTTCAGTTGCCATTCCTTCCTAATCTGGAGGCTTTTGATATCTCAAACAACAAGATTCAGGGACAAGTTCCTCCTAACATTGGGTTTATTTTCCCGAATCTCGTGATATCAACAATGTCAAACAATATGCTTGAAGGACTGTTGCCTTCAAGTTTTGCTGACATGAAAAACCTTGAATGCTTGGATTTGTCTTACAATAAGTTAAATGGAGAGCTGCCGATAGGATTGGCTCGTAAAGGATCCAAGTTATATTTTCTGAGATTGTCGAATAACATGTTGAAAGGGGAAATATTTCCAGCATCAACTTACATCAACAGTTTCAAATACTTATATTTGAGGGGGAACAGCTTGTCAGGCCCAATTCCAAAAGAGTTGTCAACTGCACCCTTACATTCATTGGATTTAAGTTACAACAATTTGTCAGGAAACTTACCAGCCTGGCTTGGTCATATCCCCTCCTTAACCCACCTTTCGTTATTTAGTAACGATCTAAAAGGTCATATTCCACCTGATTATTGTAGACTTGAAGGACTTGAAGTCTTGGATCTCTCCAAAAACAACCTTGTTGGTTCAATTCCATCATGTTTCAGTGGTTCCCTAAACCTAAAACGTGTCTATTTGAGTCAAAACTTGCTACAAGGGGAATTCCAAATGTTCTCAAATAGCTCAAAATTGAAGGTGTTAGATCTTAGAGATAACAACTTTACTGGTTCAATTCCAAAATGGTTGGGAAGTCTTGAGATAACCACCTTACTCTTGAAAGGAAATCGTCTTCAAGGCATCGTTCCTACACAATTATGCCATGCAAGTAAACTGAGAATGCTAGATCTTTCTTATAATAATCTCTCGGGACCTATACCTCATTGCTTGGGGAACATAATGCAACAAGGAACGAGTTCAGATGTATACCCCTACACTCCATCATTTAACTATCCAGGATTTGAGATCTGGGGTAGAGATGCCATGGTATTTGTAGAAGATTCAATGGAGAGATCGACGATTTCCTTTCAAAAAAACTATGGATGGGTTGGAGCAGATTTTACGACCAAGTATAATACCTATTCCTATGAAGGTACCGTGGTTGATTATATGTCTGGAGTTGATCTTTCTTGCAACCAGTTAAGTGGTGAAATACCTAGTGAACTCTGTAATCTTACCCAGATTCGTGCACTAAACTTGTCACACAACCACATCACTGGTGCAATACCATCGGAGTTCTCAAAACTCCAGAATATAGAAAGTCTGGACCTATCATATAACAACTTAAATGGGGCGATTCCCACTCAACTTCTAGAGCTAACAACTCTAGCAGTTTTTAGCGTGGCACACAATAATTTAACAGGTTTGACTCCACAGCGTAAAGGGCAGTTTGCAACTTTTAATGAAAGCAGTTATGAGGGGAATCCGTTTATTTGTGGTCCTCCTTTACACAGCAGTTGCACGGGGAATTTAGAGATACTGATGTCTCCTCTTGTGTCAAATTGCTGTGAAGACGAGGATGCTTTTCTGGATATGGAGTCGCTCTATATTTCCTTTCTTGTGTCGTATGCAAATGTGTTGCTCCTGCTGGTTGTAGTCCTCTGCGCAAGCCCCTATTGGAGAAATGTTTGGTTTTCTTTTATTGAATCTTTTATGTACTCTTATTACAATTATTTTGCTTCCAAGATGTAAACCTTATTGTAAGGTCTGTTTAACCAAAAAACTGAATATTTGGTTAAAACTAGAATTTAATAGAGAAATCGGGTTACTGATAATCAAGAAATAAGAGATTTTGTGAACAACAATAAAGCAATGAATAAGAGTATATTTCAGTATAATCGAAATGATATTTCGTGTCCTACAGATGTTGTGACTTTCTCCTTTTATAGTCAATTCTAAGAGAAAGTGTAATACCTTTGTCTTAATGAGGCAATTACGAGCAGTAAATGACATTAAAAGAAACGTTATTCAATCATTCTTATTAAATACAAATTCTCTAACATATTTGGCATTTAATGTTGAATTTGGACTCTTTTACGCTATCAGATTCATATCTTCAATTCCTTCTGATCTTCGAGCTTTAAATGGCTCGAACAGGTACGAGTCTCGTTTCATCTAGATAGTAGCTCGTACCTTTAAGTATCTTCTCTCCCGCATCTATTGTTGCTCGTGTCTTCTAACTGTTTGCTATGCTTTGACTATTTGACCGGTCCACGTGTCATGACATGTCATCTTCAATATTTAAATTCAGTTTTTTCCCAATACAAGGTCGATCACTTTAATTACATAATACTCCTCAGTAAATCATATTATATGTTTTGAGTTCTTTATACCTCCCTACCATTTTGTTTCTTAATACTTGAATATTGTTTTCAGAGTTGCAAGTATGTCTTCAACATACATGCCAAAATGATTATTAGCTCTTGCTTGTCGATTGATACTATCATATGGAAAAACCAAATGTCAGTAGAAGTGTTTAATCAAAAAGTGTTAAGCTCTTTGGTTAAATCATTCAACAATGATAAGAAGGGTGAATATTAGTTAAGGATAGTAAAATTTAGACCGATTGCTAAATGAAGTAGGCAAGATGGATGATGTTAGTTGGTATGTTTACGCTGATCAAATGCTCATAAATGCTACAACATAAATGCGCAATAAATATAGATTAATGCGACTAGCATAACAAAAAGGGGTTTACTTCCCAATTATTGTGAGACTCAAACGATTCCTTCCTCTGACAATAACGTGGAATGAATAGAATAATAGAGAGTTCTGGGATCCTTGGATCTTGTAAATATAGAACCGAAAATGTGGGCTTGAACAAGATAATCAATGAATAAGACAACTTTAGTATATCTTCAGGTCAACTCTTTTACGTAAAGTGCTCTTATCAAGGAGTGAAGAAGATCCCTTTTTTGTTCTTTATCTCTTTTTATTTATAAGGGACATTTCCCAAATACCCTAAAAAGTACAAAATAAGGAATATCCAAAAGAATATTCCTTATGTCTATATTTGAACTTATGCTCCCGTTGTCTACTCGTCACAGCTGCCCGTCTTTGGCATCAATCGTCTTGAGATCAACCCTCAGTTGTTATACCATGGTCATCCCTGTCCTTTATCTTACTTATACGTTACCACCGATACGCCAAATTTAGACCTATACAGTTAGTCCCTCCACTTGTTGAGGTCGTGGTCCTGCACGACCTCGATAAGCGGACCTGATTTGCCTACGCTTCAGAAGAATTTGGTTGTTGAATAAGCAGGGTGGACCAAGATGGAGAGAACAGCGCGACTAGTAGAGTCGTGATTGGTGTGGCTACCATGAGGTGACGTCATAGCCACGCACGTCATCATTACGCATCTTCTCGAGACAGCGTCTGCGTGCCTGTTGCTTCGGTTCTGGTGCCATTGACAATCCTTTGCTTCGATTCTTGCGCCACCCAGCCCTATAAATAGATGGGGATTTCGTTTTTCAGAAGTTTTCACCCTTCCCTTCTCTTGCATGAACACTATTCTTCTTGGATCTTCTTGGCCAATATCTGCTCTTGACTTTGCTTTCACGATTCCATATCTCCCATTCTTACCTAGTTGTTGCCTTCTTTTTCAGGTTAAGTAGTATACCTTTTATTGTCAAAATGTCGCGAACCCTTCGTATTCACGATGAAATTTCTGATGCCACTCCGTTATCGGTGGACCCTCCTTCCGGTGGTGAGGATCTCGTGGCTGAAGAAGATGAGAGTTTTCCTACCGTGGAGGAGATAGTCCCCAGAAATCCCTTATCTAGAAACGACTTTCTCAAGGAACCTGCTCCTGCTCCTGCTCAGGTGATTTCCGAGACTGGACCGTCTCATATAGATGAGCTTCGATCTACATATCGCATCCCTTCCCACGTCGAGATAGTGCCGGCTGGTGGCGACATCGTGGAGGTCCATCGACATGGATATTGTGCCTTCTACATCTACCCCTTCTTAATTGGCTATACTCTCCCACTTCTTCCATTGGCGGAGGAATTTTTCCGGTTTTATAACGTCTGCCCAGCGCAACTATCTCCGTATTTGTATAAAGCTTTTCTGATGCTGACGAAGTATGCGGAATTGGCTGGTTGTGAGGTCTATGTCCGCCACTTATTGCACTTATTTTCACCAAGTTTTTACTGAGGCACTATGATACACCTGCGGTATCGTGGGACTAGAGGGCTGATAGTCGGAATGGACGACAGGACGAATCAGAAGTTTTGGCGCAAGTACTTTTTTATCAAAACCGAACACTTGGTGGCGGACCCGACTGGGTTTCCCGAGCAGTGGAACCATAATCGTAGGTGTTTTTGGCATATGCTCGTTGTCTTCTTTTCGTCCTTTCGCTTTCCGCTCATTTGTGGCTTCTTTGTTTTTTCAGCTGACAGGCGTGCACCCTCCCCTGTCTTCGGTATTGAAGACTGGGTGGCACGCGTGTTGCCCCACATAGTGGGTATTCATGATTGGGCGGTTTTCTACGAACGCTTTGGACCGAAGATCCCATCTGGCAAGTGTTACTTTTGCTTCGGCCTTCTGTTGTTTGCCATTGTTCGTTGTTACGACCTCCTTATGATGCCAGGTCAGCGGGCTTCCAGAAAGAAAGCTCCAGTGCCGGCATTTCGCCAGGCTATTGCATCGGCAGGGATGCAATTCAGTTTGTCTGAGTCCATCCGTGGAGGTTGCACTCGGGCTCTGTCAATGAGGGATCCCCCCCCCTCAGAGTGTTGCTGCATGGGATTAGATCTCCTCCCGGCCTATCTACCATCTCGTAGACGAATCGTCTAATGGAGAGGAGTCGCCGTCGAGTAAGAGGCGAAGAGTGGAACTTGGTAAGACCGCCCTCACTGGTATTGAACCAAAGAGAATCATTGCTAAGGAAGCGGCGCCTACATATGTGCTAGGCGCTAGGGCCTTTTTATATGGCAGATGCTATTAAGGAGGGGAGGTCTTCTAGGTCCTAGGGGGTACATGAAGGCGGGGAGTCTGTACAGACCGCAGAAGGTGGTGCGTCGTCGGCGGCCGGAGGAGATGGAGCGGTACCTACGGGGGACGACGACTCTGGTTCAGACATTGACCTCGATGAGATACGGGCTTTCTTGGATAGGAACACTCGCGCAGAGGTGAGAACGGAGGGTCCTAACAGGCACATAATCATTCCCGTAGGTTATTACCTTTTGGCTATCTCTGAGCGGGCGGTACCGTCCTTTGCCCCCTTTTTGTGCGCGACTTCTGAGAACACGGCGCTGCAGACGAAGAGCGATGCAGATCTATCACTAAGTATCTCCGGCATGGCTTTGCGAGTAAGTGCCCATCCCCTCTTTTTTTTTCATTTATGTTTAGGATTTGCTTCGCTTGCGTAATCTGCATGTGCTGACTTCTTTCTTTCGCATGCTAGACTTTTATCATGGGGATCGAGCGTGACCGGGGGAAGGAGTGGAGGACGACCCTTTTTAAGAAGGTGAATTCCAAGTACAAAGAGTACCATACTAAGCACCGAATGCTGGCCGACGTTTTTAACCAAGATAGCGAGTTCGAGCTATTTCGTGACAGGCTCAAATAGAAAGAGGAGAAGTCGGCGAGGAAAGTTGAGGAGCTGAAGGAGCGGGATGATGAGCTAATGAAAGCTATAGGTCAATGCAGCAAGCTCGAGGAGGCTCTTAAGGCCAAGGACAATGAGCTCGAAGTAAGCCAGAGGGTGATGGCCGAGAATGCCGACCTTCTAGCGCGGGTGGCTTCCTTAACTGCTGAGCTTGGGCGGATGGAAACGGAGGCTGTCGCTCTGAGGGGCGAGTTGAGCATCAAGGTCGAGGAACTGACCCGTGCCAAAAAAGATAGAATGGCCGCCCTGTCTGAAGCAACAGCCTTAGATGACGCCCTCTGTGTTTGTAGGTCTGAGCGGGATACTGAGGTGGAGACTTCGGCGCTCAAGGTGGCAAGGTTGGAAGAGCGGATTCAGGATCTGGAGGCAGAGTTGTCCGGATTGAATGAGGCTTTGAAGGATGAGGAAGTGCGACGACAGTCGCAGCCATCTACTTCTGATACTTCTGTCGACCCTGTCGTGCCTCGGGAGTTGTACGAGATGTGGATTCAAGCTGAGGCTCAACTTGATGTGTACAAGTCCCTGAGGGCTGGCGGGAGAGCTTCCGAGGCAGAACTCGAGGGTGTCTGTGCTAAAGCACGTGCGGCCCGTGAAGCTTGTGGTTATGCCCCCGGTACGCCTGGCAGGGATGATGTTGATGATGATGCAGACAGGCTCGCCTCCGATTCTTGGTATAATGAAGAGTACGCCGATGGGGATGATGCGGCGTAAAGCCGTTGTACTTATTTTATTTTGTCTTGCTATTTTTGTGAGGGCGTCTCTGGGCCCTTTGTAAAAAGTATTGTAACATGACAATTGTAATGGAATGATTACCTTTTTGCTACGTGTTTATAGATTGTCGATATATATATATATATATATATATATATATATATATATATATATATATATATATATATATATACACATACATATATATATTGTGTTTGCTATGTGGTGAAGTCCCTGACTTTTTCGGTCGCTTGTGTAGTGTTTTGGCGTAGTCGATCGTAGATCTTAAAGAAATTTCTAGCGAGGTCGAATGTAAAACCATTCGAACGAGGTCAAATGTAAAGTAATTCGAGTGTGGTCGAATGTAAAGTGATTCGAATGAGGTCAAATGTGTAACGATTCGAATGAGGTCGAACATAAAGTAATTCGAGCACGGTCGAATGTAAAGT